TAATTGCCAGGGAACGACTGATCCCGTTCTTCGAGTCGGTCATGATGACCTGTCGGTCGGAATTTGGCTTGTCTGCTTGTCTAGTCGAGGGGCTTGGCTCTGACTGTGCTTTCGAGCTCCTAAAGTCGATTCGAACCATAGCTCGCTTGGGCTTATGCAAGTATTCTTCCTGTACTTCTATTTTGTTACGGTGAATGACCATAACAGTATTATATAATAAATAAATAATAATAAAATATAAATAAACTAATAAAAATAAAAAAATTTATTGACAATAAATAATAATATAATAATGATATAATAATATATTATACAACATTATAATCACTATAATATTATTAACTTTTTAATAAATAAATTATAATAAATAAATAATTATAAAAGTTTACAATATTAACATATTTAATAATAACATAACAATATAATAATAAGAATATAATAACATATTGTATAGTAAGTGTAATATAATATATAAAATATTAATATATTATGTAATAAATAATATAATTTATTATAAAGTAAAATAATTTAAATAAAAAAATAATTTATTGCTAACAAATGTTAATGTAAAAATAATATAATAATATTTTATTTATATCATAAATACTAATATGTTATTAAAGTATTATACTAAACTTAAACATATTAAAAACTATAAATTAATAAATATTTATAATATATTTATTTATTAATAACATACTAGTAATAATATAATATTAACATTATTAATAATATTATATTATATTGATAATAATATAATATAATATTAATAATAAAATAACATTATTATAAAATATTAATATAATGTACAACAATAACAAATTGATATACCAAAATAATTAAATATATAATTATTTAAAAATAATATAAATAATTATAATATAATATAACTGATTAAAGTACAATATATTATAATACATTATATAATATTATATTGCATTACATTTAATACTATAATAATATAAACTAAATATTATAATATTTTTTTTATAATATATTTTATTATAATTAATATATAATATATTAATACATATGTTTAATACTAATGTTATAATGGGTCAAACTAGTGTTGACAAAAAATATTTAACATTGTGTTTTAAAAATATTTTAGGGGAAAAAAACAACACCATGATGTTTTTTTACAAAAACACACCATAGTATCCAAACGAAGTCTAAAACATCGCGTTTGTATGAATATGGAACTAGCATGATTGTTAAGAGAGAGAGAGTACCTAAGAGTTGGGCGAGAGAGAGAGTACCTAAGAGTTGGGCGCGCATTAGTCTGATTGTTATGTGACACCATTGATAGGTCTTCGCCACATCGGCACATCGCAATTCCAACTTTATCATCATGACCGTAACAAATGACTAAAGCTTCACTACATTAGTCCATATTACATGAAGAGGAGCTCGCGCCATAATCTGTGTCCAAAACATAATATAATTGGCATTCTTGATCGTTCTCTCAAACAAAGAAATAAAGGGAATTCTATGTCCCACAAATAGCACTAACAGTAGAAAATTACAGGACTACGACCGTCAATTGAAAGAGAGGGAAAGCGTGCTAAATTTTCAGTATCACTTCAGAGAAGAGAGTTACATGACAAGTGAAAGCAATCTCCAGATTGCACTATCTTACTGCTGGCTTCTCTTTCTTGAACTGCGGGAGACCGAGACATATCATATACAGTAACATGGTTCCGCACAATTTTCCTAGTAGGGCTACATTTTTCATTTATACTTTCGCTCATTCCCATTTTTCTAAGGGGGGTTAGTCATCTAGAACTTAAAACTGGAACTGAGATAATTTGTGGGATAAATTTTTAAGGTGTTAGTCACATAGAACTAGGAAATGGGATATTTTTTTATAGTGTTAGTCAAGAAGAACTTTTGTAGAACTAGAACTGTATTAATTTTTTAGTGCGTTAGTCAAGTAGAATTCTACTAGAATTAGAATTGGGATAATTGGTCATAATTATCCCACAAATTATACTACCTATATATATAACCATAAGTTCTCCTCTCTCAAATTATCCCACATATTGGAAAGAATACAATTGGAAAAAAAAAGTGAAACGTCGCCTCCCTCCCTCTTGGTTAAAATTTCTCTGCCATGAAGTCAATCATCCGTTTATTTTTCTGTCTTTACTTTGTTTTTGTGATGATTAGATCTTTTATTATTATCTTTAAGATGTATTACTTTATTGATAGCTTTTTGACGTTTAAATTATTTTATTATTATTTGTTTGATCTAAGTTTTCTCTCCACAACAGTGGTTTAGGTTAAGACTATAGTGTTGGTGGGTTAGTGCTAAAGATATGCGGGCTATTTATGTTTTTTTATAAGTTAGAAAGCAACTTTGCGATCACATTGATGATTAGATATTGAATGGTTAATGGTGATATCTATTATTATTAAATCGGCACAGTAAATTGATTGGGATATTTATAGTTCATCTGTCGATCATCTGTTTAGCGGCCACGGATGATTCCTGTGTACATTTCATTTATTTGCTGATTTGGTTTCAGCGATCATGATGAGATTGGTCCAAAGGGTTGATGGCTGAAAAATGCTTATTTTTCTTTCTTTATGATGTTATGAGATTTAAACTTCGACATTTATGATCCTCCACTAGAAGCTCCACAAAATGTTGCTGATGCAGACGATGACTTCGATAAAGAAGACGAGTTACAGACTCAACGAACAGCTGTAGGAGTTTGAAGAAATTCTATGGCAGATACCATGTGGGATGATAGAAACCATGTGGGATGATGGAAGTCGAGTCACTCTAGGGATTTAGATTTTTATTTATTTGTAAATTATTTTATTATTTGAGATGAATAGTGATGTTTTATTGCATTATATTTTATAGTTATCACTAGAATTTACTTATCAATATTATATTATTTTTAATATACAATTATTAACAATAGTAATTTATACCCACCATTACCTCCACCAAATTATCCTACCAAATTATGCAGCTTCATAATATTATTCATCATTATCCCACCAAATTATCCTACCAAATTATCCCACTTTAAGAATTACCCATCATTGTTCCACTAAATTATCCCAGTGTTAAAAAATTATCTCACTTTACCAATTATCCCAGTTCTACTTAAAAAGTTCTAGGTGACTAACCCCCCCTAAGTGTCTTCCAATGAGTGATGAGTGAGTGTGTAATATACATTGATATCGACAGTTGACCGCCATATTGGTTTTAAACGTACCTGCTGCTTTGTTACATGTTTTGCACCCCAATCTACTCCAGTGCTGGCTACAAGCATATTATTCCCCATTCAATAACAACAATTACAAAAGTTTTATCCCAAAACTTAAGGGTAATTAAGATGTGAATCCTTTTCTCTCATGGATTCACTATGCATCCTTATTCAAGGCCCCATCTTGTCATTTTCTATGTTTTATAACAAAATCTCATTCATAAATGCTCTCTTTTTGGGACATTTTCCCCAATTGCCAAAGGTCTGTAAACCCAAATCATGACTAGTCTCGTCGCCTATAATCACACACCCCCCAAACAAAAAAAATCCATTTGATGATCAGCTGAAAGACAATATTTCAGTCATTCTACACACTGAAATTGCAGAATCAATCTAAAGAACCAAACTGAATAGAGTCAAAAGACAAACCAGAAAAAAACGCTAGTACAGTTGAATTAAGAAAACAAAATGAGACAAGTAAAACAACAAAATCCTAGAAAAAAAAATGAAGATAACGGTCCAGTAAAAGTTCAGAGCCAGATTGCTGATAGAAGAACAAACTCTGATGCGTTTCAATCGGATCTGAGCAGAAGTGGCAAAGAACACACCGTATCATCTAAATCTGTTTCAATCAGATCTGAGCAGAAGTGGCAAAGAACACACCGTATCATCTAAATCCTTAGTTCATGTATACTACCCAATACCAATGTGTCGGGTAAACCTTTCATCAGATGCATTGAAAGACCGACTCCAAGAGAGACAAAATTCCGAAGCAATTGAATTAAATATCACAAACAAGGATGTATTTTACCTTCAACCGGATACTGGCAAAATATGGTAAGAGAGAAAATTTCAGCGGAGCATCTATAGACACCTAAGATATTCTATCTAACAAAATACATTACATTTTGGTGCCCTAGGTCAGTAACAGAACAAACTTATAAATCACTCATTTCAAAAATAGAGCATTACACGATGCCATTTTACAAGTTAATCACATCCAAATCTAGACCCGTCATGAACAATGTTCTTTCATCTGAATAGAGCACGATCTCTTTCCAACCCTCCTAAACCATCTTCCTAGATGGAAGAAATTTTCTAAATAAACTCATTCCCAATTTTAATCTCAAATTTCAACACTATTCAAACTTTATTAAAAAAATCGACCCTCTTTCTCGCCGAGTCAGCGTGACCATAAAGTGGGTTGATTTTTTTTGAACGCGATCCTAATTAGTCGGGGTTGGCAACCCCGACTATTTTGGTACTCGACTAATTAGGATCGCGTTTTAAAAAAATCGACACACTTTCTGGCCACGATGCTGACGTGACGAGAAAATGGGTCAATTTTCACAATTAAGTTTGAAGTGGGTCGAATTTGGGGAATAAAATTGGGAATGTGTTTAATTTGAAAATTTCTTCTTCCTAGATGTCACGAACACTTCCATTCCTACATGTACATAGCTATTAGATCAGCAACCATTCACATCATGTGCATCATTATATATATTTCATCGAGTCACCTCTATAACTTAAAATTAATCTATAATGATTAATACGCAAAACATGTAATACCCGAGGACAGTACTCAAGAAAACGACAACCACTAGCAAAAACCCAAAAAAAGGGTTAGTGTGAGTATTTTATGCACTCATACCACAATACACCGTATATCAGTTTGATCAAGCATATATATAATTAAGCATTAGGGTTTGGGGATTTTGAGTACAAATTCTCCATGCTAGCCTATAACAAACAAATATCTTTATGGGAAATGACAAATTAAAATAAGACATTTTCATTTCATCAATAAGCATATATAATTAAGCATATCCATGACAATATCCAACAAGCAAAGCAAAATACGATAACTCAAAACGAGTAGCAAATCATCGTCACAGAAACCCTCTCCCCTCTCTCGAATTCCAAAATTAGACCTGATCCTAAGAGAGTGAGGGGAAAGCAAAACCTAGGGCATCTTCAAAACCCTAGCTTGGTGCGGCGCCAGTGCCTGCGCTTCGCATTGTACCTTAACCAAAATTAAACAAAAAAATATTTAATCAAAACAAAAAAACAAGTGAAAAATGAGGAATTTTTTATCGAAATCGATCGAGAGAGAGGGGAACCTAATGGTGTTATCGGTCCGCATGCGGATCCAGTGAGGGATCGGGCGATTCTGCCTCATCTTCTTCGCGAGCTTCTTCTTGATCCGAAACGTCTTGTGAGAAGGCTAATTAGGGGGGAAAACGAAAAGAGATTAGCTTTGCAAAGTTTGAAACCCTAACCCTAGATAGAGAATTTTTGTTTTTGTTTTTTTACCATTTTTTGCGCTGGTTTGAGCTCGATGACAACGGCGGAAACCCTAGCTAGCGCGAGGAGAGAGAAAAAGGCTGCAGGTACTGGCGTTTATATAGGGTAGTGAGATAGCGGGTAAATATCAAAAATCGGGTCGGGTTCAGAGTCCGTACCCAAAATCCACACACCGTTTGAACCTTACGCTAAACCCCGTCGTCTCTTCTCACCAGACCCGAAACCCGTTAAGGGCCGATGTCAGCAAAATGATCCAGAGGCGACATCTTTTTCTTCCCAAAATACCCCTCTCCGATCTCCGCCGTCGCCTCGGCCAACTCCGGCCTCTCTCCTCCTCCAACAACTCCGGAAAGGAGGCGGCGCCTCCGCCGGCGACGGTTGCTCAGGACGACGGCGGCGTAGTATCGAGGGAAGAGGCCTATCGCCAAATCCAAAATCTTGATTTCATGAAAGCAGCAAAGATTCTCTTCACTACGCCCCCAAAAAGGAAACAATTTGGGTAAAAAAATTTGAAATTTTTTTTATTGTCGTTTGATTCTAACATATGGTTATGATTAACTAGTTTTTATGATGTAGGTTTGATTTCCATTTGGTGCAGTTCTTCTTTGCTTGTATGCCCTCTTTAGGTAATTGAAAACTGGAGAGAAATTCCATTTTTTTTTTAAGATTTAAAATTTTAGGGTTTTAATTTTTTATTTTAAATTTTTTTTTATGTTTTTGTTAATAGCTGTGTATTTGGTGGCTCAGTACGCACGACATGAGATCAGAAGGATGGAAGCGGTGAGGACTCTGTCGATTTAAACCTAGCCTGTAAAAATTGGTGATATTAGTGAGACATAATTCGCTTTTTCGATAAATTTGTGTAACATGTAGAGTTTTTGAGTTTACCCAACTGGCATAATTCGCTTTTTCGATAAATTTGTGTAACATGTAGAGTTTTTGAGTTTACCCAACTTAAGGAGGAACTTTCAATTTTTTTTTTTAATTTTCTTTTTTCTGTTGTGCAATATCCTTTGTGGCTTTCAGTTCATTGATACAGATTATAGTGTGTGCTTCTTCAGCTACCTGGTGTTTGCTTTCTACTTTTCTGGGTATATATGTTTCACACTGATTTCGAGTAAGTTTCACTCACCAGCGATGTATAACAGAGCAATGTGTGAAAGTAAAACAATTGCATTCATTGACCCAAAATAATTTTTGACATGTTGAGGGTTGTTGTTTCTGTGAAGAGTCAGTCGGTGATATGCTTTATCTGCGGAAACACATGTGTAGAGTGCTGCAAATCTTTGCATCTCAATATAGGTATCACATTTGAAATTTAGGGGATCTCACTATGATTTATCTCCGACATGGAAGAGTTCAGTTGGTGTTCTTTGCAGGCTGCAAAGTGGCTGGTATTATTGATAGCCAATTATTTGACATATAGATAGAGACGATTGAATTGTTTATCATCTAGAAGATAAATTTGGTTAAACTGTGTTTATCATCCATGCTATGGAAAGCATAAACAAACAAATATTGAGATCAGGGCGCAAATAGTTAACAATTACTAGAAGATCTAGTGTGGTTTGAAACAAGTCCTTCGTCATCGCTCACCAGGCAACAACAGACGGTCCTTTGTATTAAAACATAGAACAAACAGAGAAGAAACAATAAAAAAGAGATCTTTGGAAACTGATAGACATCGATTTCTCTCTAGGTTGTTCCTAAACCCTCATCTCTGAGAAATTTATTATAGAATTCAACAATCCATATATCCACAATGATCGTTTTAATATGTAGGGTTAAGTCAAGTAAGGCGGATACATTTTTTTCATTTACTTCTACTTTTGCCTATATGATCATGATTTCAATTTTCTTTCATCTTCTCATATAGCTCATCAATTTGATGACCAATATCGGTTGCCTAAATCCGTATGTCTACTGCATTGCATCAGGAAGCAGAGTTGAAAAAGAAGCTAGCAGAGGAAGAAGAAGAAAAAGCTAAAGAGGCAGAAAAGGCAAAAGAAGCTGAATTGCACTCTCTGGAAGAACACGAGTCATCTGATTCAGAACTGTCAAAGGTAATAGTTAGGCTGGATGCTCTGGAGGAGGTTGTGAAGGAAATTGTTGACGACAAAAAGAGAACACCCAGTTTAGACTCTAAACATGATGGAAATGCTTACAAGAGTTCAGATTCTGATGCCAAGTCGAGAGATAATGAGTTTAAACCAGAGATAAGCAAAGAGAGAGCTGGTAGTTCTAATTCTCAAACTGGTGTTCCCTCCGATAACAATCAGAACAATAAAGAGAAAAATAGATAGCCTGTGGGAGATAAGTAACTTGATCCTCTTCATTTATTGCCATGATTTATTGCAACAAGGGCAGTTTTAAGTTTAAAATGGTTGCGTATTCTGAAGTATGAACCTGGCAAGGTTTCAATTTTTGTTCAAGATGGTTGTGAATGGCCAATGCTTGATGTAATCTTCTGTTTTTAGATCTTCATTAAAGCAGTGTGTTGTGTTTTAAGGCATGATAAACTCTGCTGAGGGTATGCGAATCACAGCGCAGAGCAACTCACTCTTGTTGATGGTCGAGAAATTATTTCTTTGATCCTTATTGTTAGGTATCACCTAATTGTTGGCGAACTCTCTTTAGCATTCATCAATTTTCTTTGTTAAATACCACCAAAGTTTCAGGCCAACTAAGTACTTGAGCAGTGCAAAGATGAATTACTTGATCATCTATATCCCTACCTGAGCTTAGAATGAAATACATCAGATAGAAATTCTCATTGCAGAATGAAGATCTTAACCATTTCATGTGTTTACCATGCTGTGGTGGTTCAGTTGCTAGTCCTTTTGTGATACTGAGTTGGCCTGTAGTTGGAATTATGGTGGAATCAGAAGTTATACGGTTAGAAGGCATGTAATAGAATCCTATTTCATGTATCTGATGCCAGGCTCTGAGGTATTGGGTACATCACAAGATTCATAATGGTGCATGGTACAAACACAAAGCAAATATACCTCTAAATATTCATCCAGCTATTTATTTGGGCACCCAAATTCATGTATTCACCAAACTATATTTATAAGTAAAACCTGTGGTACTGCAGAGATAAAATAAAATAAAATAACAAATATCTTGACAAAATTTTTCGCTTAACACCTACGACACAAAAAAAATGTTAACCACAAAATAAGCTCTTGGATGATTCAAACAGAGAAAATAGATAAAATTCTAAAGGCATACTGAGGGACGCAAATGGCTTTGACTGCCAAATTGTATTACATATACCTTAAAAAGGAAAACCCTCCAACAAGAGGTGCATTAAAGTTGCCAAACAGAATAAGAACTGCACGCATAATCTAGATCCACTGAAAAAAAAACAGGATAGCTGAGTTTGAACCAACTCGAGAAACTTCATATATGATACAATCATGTATACAGAAGGTTGGTATATTATACAATCACTCAATCTCAAACATTACCTACCTTGTTAGCCAATAAATCAAAATAAGAAAAGTACAAACAGATGCAACAAGGGAGAGCATGACGGTGTCCATTGATTTCTTTCTTCTAATTGATGAGAGAATGTGATTCACCTGCAAATTAGGATAAGGATTTTAACTGACAGCGGCAGGCATTGAACAGAAGCAACCTTATGATGAGAAAGAAGTGGTTTTCTTACTGTAGGAAGGCGACTGCCAACGTTTGTTAGCTTCGAGCCAATGCCACTGAATGTTGACCGTTGCATAACAAGTGCCCCTAGGGTAGCTTGGGCGTGCGAAAGTACATTGTCCATCTGAAGAATATTGGTGACAAGAATCATCAGACTACAAAAGTGTAAGTTCATTGAGAGCACCGATTTATTAGTACCATTTTTTAACATTACGGAAACAGGTGAAGCTGACAAATGCAAGGAAAAGAATTTTTTAAAAAAGGCGGAGACAACCTTTACCTGTCCGGTACTTCGACTAATAGTTGCTTGCTCTCTTAGGAAAGATGGGTCAGGATAACTGCCACCCTCTTCAAAGTTCATTCTGGCACTATCAAAGTCTTTAAAATCCAGGAGGGATGCATGTTCTTGCTTAGCTTCGAGGCTTGAGCGAAGCCGAAAGAATTCCTACAGATGAAACATTAAGGGTCAGATTAAAATTCCTACAATCCGAAGGTAAAAATGTCGAAATTAACATCCAATTACAAATCAAACCAAGTTAAACTAAAAAAATTTGCTCGAGAGATCAAGATGCCAATGCCTTGGATGATCTTATAAAATTATATAGTACTTAATAAGCATGCAGTTTTGCAGATTAACATGTCACCTGTGTAAGATCTTGCAAAATCTCTCTATGCCGATTCAAGGTATGCAAAAGGATTTCTGAGCCTCCTGATGATACCCAAGCATGCATCTGGGAGTTTACTTGCTGAAGTTGCTTCAGTAGTCTATCTATGGTAGAATCGAGATCATTCTCGGAACCATCAGTTCTTGTAGCAACAATTCTTCGATATGTATTCAACTGCTCATCCAACTGAGCCTCAAGTTTCCTTGCCTGGAGGTTGAGTAAGCATCAACTAATAAAACTGGAAATGCAACTGCTAAAAGGACATTTCAGTAAATAGCTATGCAAATACCTACTTTTCAGCACTTGCCTAAAAAATTAACATATAAAGGTACAATTCCAGTTGAAAAAAAAAAGTTAGGCACAGTCCTCAATTTCATGAAAATATAAAAGATAAGTAATTTGC